ATGAGAACAATCATTTCTCCATCTTGCTTCACCAAGATAGCACGGCACACCCAGCTTTGGCATGGCCCATGACACGTACGATCTGTGTAACGATTGTACATAATCCGAATAGACCATCCATTCGATTATGTAATTCCAATCTCGTAGCTCCCACTCAATCAAGCATATCTAATATCTTGATTAAATTACATGCATTCATTCACTATGGACCATCCAAACGAATCAATCATGCTATTCTGTATCACAATTGATCGGGTTAAGCAACGATTGCTCAAACCGGATCCCGAAACGAAAAACTAAAATTTTGGTGAAGCCTGGGATGTGGACCGATCGGTCCAGAGCCTGGACCGGTCGGTCTATGCAATTCGGTCTACACAGTCCAGAACGGTCCAGACCTTTCGATCTGTCCGTCCAGACCGATCGGTCCACACGTTGGACCGTTCAGTCCAGACCTGTCGGTCCAACCGACCCGCAAAATCCTAGACCGATCGGTCCAGAGGACCGGATCGATCGGCTCGTTTCTGCCCCGTTTCAGACCCGAATTCGACCCAGTTTTCGCCTGCGAACTCAGAATTCGAAGCTCTTGCACACTATCAACAATGAAAAAAAAATCTACTCTAGATCCACAATCAAATCATGCATAGCATCAAAGCAAACACGGATTCAAACGATTCAAATCCTATAACGTGCGTGATCGGGTAGTAACAAAATCATACAGAGCAACCAGATTTTGATACCACTGTTGGATTTCCTGGGAACTCAAGAGCGAATCTAATTCCTAAGAGATCGGTTCTAGGGTTTGCGCAGCGGATGTAAAACAAAATTTTTGATGAAACCCTAAAACCTATCATACATGATCTTGTAGAAACGTTAGAACGCTTACTTCATTCGATCCGGGGCCTGTATCAATTGATGTGTTCGTCCGATCACGTAAGGCAGGAAGAATCCCTCACCCTCTACACGTATCCACACGGCGGAAAGGATTCCAACGGTTGGAACTTGTCTGCTAGGACTGAAGAACACGTTCTTCTTTGCGCAAGACGTTCAGGGATCTAACTCTAAGGTTTTCAACTCTCAAAAACTCCCCAAAGAGTATGAAAACCCTAATTAGATCGAGTTTAGGAAATCCCGACGTCTAGACCGATCGGTCCAGGCTTGGACCGATCGGTCTGGAGCTTTTAACGTGTGGACCGGTCCATGGTTCCGGACCGATCGGGTTGGAACATTTTTCGGACCGAGCAACATTTGCACGTTACCTCTGGACCGACCGGTCCACGTGTCTGGACCGTCTGGGTTGGCTGGACCGGTCGGTCTGGCCTCCGCTCCACCGGAATTTTCTCGTCTCTTCTCGCGCATTCGTCATTTCCTCTGTGTGTGACCCTGTAGGCTCATCCGATATAGCAGTATAACCCGAAATCCCTTATTTCGGTTACACAAGTCATAGGCGGTCTCTAGCAAGACACTATGACTACCTATCTCGAATAGAGTTTGTTCGTGATCATACGAACGCCAGTGATGATTCCGGTTGATGATCCTTTTGTATCGCGATATCATACGTCGAACATAAGGCATGGGCAAGCCACCTTATCTGATTCGAGTGCTTTCTCGTTCACTAAGTTCAACTGTCTGAAATAGACGACGTTCGTCTATAGTGCGACCACATATTTCTACAGTCTCGCTCATACGAGGGACCCAGCGATATCTCTCTCTTTTACAGAGGTACAAATCTCGTCTTGACTATTTACAATCCAGCACATGATTCGTTTCATACCTGATACACGCCTTTATAGTCCTCCTGTTACGCAGGACATTTGACGTATTCAAAGTACGCAACTTCTCATGTTGGATTCCGTAGATATCTCAGGTCTTAGGATCCAATCATGGAACCGTCATATGAGATTCAAGTCATGACGCAAGTCCATGTGACAATCTCATGCGGATCAATCCAGTATTTTGTTCTCCAACGAATACCTATGATCGTGATCGTATCCAATACCTATGATCATCTATATGATCATCAATCACACATCATACTAGTCTTAGTATATCATTATTCCCACAATGATACATGACTAGGGAGTTTAGTATTGTTCATAACAATACATGGATTTCATAACATGTCAAGTATGCACAATACGTAATGAAACAAACACTCATCCATAAACTAATAGAAAGTGTCAATACATCAAATGTATCTAAATGAAGCTCGCATAACAGTACATCATAGAGCACTAAACCAACAGTGATCGCCGGTGCGAGAGGCATGGACAATGGGTGGCTCCTGACGAGCTTCTGGATAGGGGGTACAGGGATGAATCGGACGCACCGGAATGAGAGGGATCCGAGGGATGTGTAGGTATGGGACTACACAGTCTAAGATAACTTAAATGAATTAATTGAGCTACTCATAGCAACAAGATGCATCTACCTTTTTGGTTGTCCATCTCGAGAGAACTCCAAAGTTAAGCGTGCTGGACTTTGAATAGTCTTAGGATGGGTGACCTCCTGGGAAGTATTTTCCGGGATGTGTGCGAGTGATGACAAAACACGCTAAAAGGTCATGTGTTGATGTGCGGGGACAGCTCTATCATTCTGTAGTGGCCTCGGGACGTTACAACCTAAATATCTAATGAGATTAGATAGGGTATAATATGTGGAGAAATCCGAATTTCGGGTTCAGACTCGGATTTTGAAGTATAAGATGGATAATTAGCTCTAGCTATCCCGTCAATAATTAAATTATAATTTTAACCTTATATTATATAAAATATATAAATATATCGATTTATGATTGTTTTTTCTTTTTTTTTTGTTAAGTTTTTATATAATAAGATTTTTATATTTGTGTATTTTTTATATTGATTATAATTTATATGTTTGTTATAATTTATATATAATAAAATTGTGTTCTTACTAAAATTTTGTCTTTAAATTTTTTATTCGATGCCATAGATACTTGAGAATTATAACCATTCGATTAAAGACGATATTTGACGAATTCAAGGTGCACCACTACCCATATCGGATACCATAGACATCTCAGATTTGATGATCCAAAAGCGAACCATTACATGAAATTCAAGTATTGACTCGGGTCCATGTGATAACCTCATGCAAATCATCTATTCCGTTAAGTATCCATAACCGTTATCTATATCTATCACACATGATCATCTCCATTATCATCCATCATGTCTCATGCTTGTCTTAATTAATCATCATTATCACGATCATATCCGTGATCATATCAAGTAAAATGTCATTGCAAGGAAGGGGTCAGTGACATAGAATCCGAAACATTATCGGTAGTAGTGAACAGGGTACAAAAATTCGAAATTCTGATACCCAACTCCACCAACAGATCGAGTACCTAAACATCTAATGAGATTAGATCGGGTATAATATGAAGATAAATCTGAATTTCGGGTTCAGACTCTGATTTTGACGTATAAAATGGATAATTATCTTTGTAGATATCCCGCCAATAGTTAAATTATAATTTTAGCCCTATATTATATAAAATATATAAATTTATCGATTTATAGTTTTTGTTCATTTTTTATTTGTCAAGTTTTTGCATAATAAGATTTTTATATTTGTGTATCTTTTATATTGATTATAATTTATATGTTTTAGTTATAATTTATAGATAATAAAAATTGTATTCTTACTAAAATTTTGTCTTTCAATTTTGTATTTGATGCCATGGATACTCGAAAATTATAACCATTCGGTTAAAGACGATGTTTGGCACATTCAAGCTACACTACTACCCATATCGGATACCATAGACATCTCAAATTTGAGGATCCAAAAGCAAACCATTACATGAGATTCAAATCTTGACTCGGGTCTATGTAATAATCTTATGCAGACCATCTAGTCCATTAAATACCCATAACCACATCTCCATGATCATCTATAATGTCTCGTGTTTGTCTTAATTAATCATCATTCTCACGATCATAACCACGATCATATCAAGTAAAATGTCGTTGTAAGGAAGGGGTCAGTGAGACAGAATCTGAAACATTATCGGTAGTAGAGAATAGGGCACAAAAATTCGGAATTCTAATACCGGACTCGACCAATAGATCGGGTACCTAAACATCTAATGAGATTAGATCAGGTATAATATGTGGAGAAATCCGAATTTCGGATCCAAACTCGAATTTTGAAGTATAAGACGGGTAATTGCAATAGTAATTAAATTATAATTTTAGTCCTATATAATTCTTTTGTTTTTATTTGTAAGTTTTTTATATAATAAGATTTTTATATTTGTGTATCTTTTATATTGATTATGATTTATATGTTTTATTTATAATTTATATATAATAAATATTGGGTTTTAACTGGAATTTTATCTATAAATTTGGGATCCGATGTCGTGAATACTCGAGAATTATATCAGATATCTGTTTTTTTGTTATCCGAGTAAAGCAGATTCAAGTTCGGATATTATTTTGTTGAGAAATTCAAGTCCTAATTCGAGTACGAGTAACCCAAAATCGTGGACGTCGGATCTGTAACTCACCTCTAATCCTCAAAGTTGAGCTAGTGTTATATTATCCGTATAAAAGATAAGAAGAAAAGAATAAAGAGAGAGGAAAAAAAATCAATGGATATACAACTTTTGGTTTTGGATACACCACCAAAACGAGAGATGGATCCAACGTGGTCAGCTACAAAAGTAATTTTTGTTTTGACCAAATTTAAGAGTGATCCAAACTAAACTGAATTATGATATTTCGGTTATGTGAAAGTGGGCTAACCGAATATCTTCCATTTGGCTTTACTAATATAATCCTAAATGTATGTTCATATTTGAACAAAGGTTTTGCTATTTTGTTCATGTTCGTTTATAAATATATATTTTTTTGTTAATCGAACTGAATTCGGTTTCACTTAAATGTTGGGTAATATTTTTCTTTACGATTCTAATCAAAACGAACCAAACCAATTTACATGCCTAAACCAAAATTGTGAACTCATTCAGAAAAGAAAAGAAATACTGTTTATCAAGTACTGATTTAAATTAGAAAAAAAAACAAAAACAAAGAACTAATACAAGTGTGTGATAAGAGAGTGGGATTATGAGATTCTCAAAACAGAGACAGAGAGAAAGCTTTGCTTCTGTAGCTTCATTACAACAACGTTGCCTGATACAGAACCTTAATGCAATGGGGAAACTCTCGAAATGGTTCCTCTTCTTTGTTTCATCGTATCAAACACAGATATCCACTTGAGATGTACTGAAATTCGAGGTTCTTCTCAAAAAACTCCTCAGGACGGCGGAACAACACAGTCTAATCTTTCGTTCCCGGGAAAATGCTGTAGCGGTTACGTGTAACGGAATCCTCAGATGGGTTCCTTCTCTGACCGGGGCATGTATCTAAAGATAGCCGGATGGTCAGAATCATCTGTGCGCAACAAAAGAGCATTGGTTCTCATTACAGGTTAGTAAACTTGGTCTCCAAGAGATGCATAGACACAATATCAACTCTTTCTAACATAATATGTGGAGAATATTGATATTCTTTGCCCTAACAGAGACCTCAAAGAACCAACGTAACTTAGAAACCCACATTTTTGCACTTACTACAAGTTGAAGTGGATGTAGACATTATTGCTGGTAGATGCAAGTGAACAGAAAGGGAAAGACATAAAGCACATAATGCTAAGCACGTACACATCAGAGTATGCAAGGGATTGGACTACGATGTGTATCAGTATCTTATGGTATATATACCGAAATCCACCGGTAAAACAATGATCCAAACATCAGAGGAAAATCGAGGGTATCCAACAAACACAGATATCTAATTGGATGAATCACCGGGAAACATTCAGTGCAAAGAATCCCAGTTCCATTGGATGATCCAAGTTGTCAAAGGAAAAACATATCCTTGTCCAATTTCATGGGCCCAGAAAGTCATTATCATCCCTTGAATCAAGCTAAATAAGGCTCTGTAACGAATTCAGATTACACATCTCAGGTCGTATGATCACGACTCACGAGAACGTTCTTACTCGGCCAAATTCAATGAATATACGCAAACCAATGCGACAGAAAATGAACAAACGACATCAACGAGAACGAGAACGAGAACATACCATCATGTGGAACCAGGTCGGCTTCCGCTCGATCTGGGTCGACCCAGATGGTCGGGATCCGCATCGATCCTCTCGTACCCACCCGACCTAGGTCGCCCGTTTTGCTCGTACCGGCCCGGCAACCCGAAATAGTCTTGTCGCTGTTGCTGCTGCTGATGATGATGGTGCTGGGGAGGCGATCTCTGACTCAAATCCTTGACGCGTGGCGCGTCGGGTCCGGGTTTCGCCTCCCTCCCGACGAAACCAGGCCTAAGATGGGGCGGCACGAACCGGTCCGGCTTGGGCGATTCGACAGGATGAACCGGAGAAGCCACCTCCGGGTTCCGAAGCGGAGACGTGAGAAGCGACGGAGAAGGACCAGGGCCTGTGCGACCAAGAGGACGGAGTGAGATCTGGTCAGAGGGAGCTTGATCCGTTGTCGGGGGCGTGGTGGGTGTGGGAGAGGTCAGGGGCTTAGGGGAAGGACGGGAGACGACGAGCATGCGGCCATGTGGGCGAGCGACGGAGGAGTAGGAACCGGTGGAGGAAGAAGGGAGGTGGTCAGTGTGGAGGATGTGGTTGAAGTTGATGGAGGTGTATTTGTTGTTGGTTCTTGCCATAACAAAACTCTCTCTCTCTCTCTCTCTCTCTCTCTCTCTCTCTCTCTCTCTCTCTCTCTCTCTCTCTCTCTCTCTCTCTCTCTCTCTCTCTCTCTCTTTCTCTC